TTACTTAATCTTTTATATACATTTCTTAACCATCACTATATTATATTTATTTACTATTTATAACGACATTGTGCGACCCGTGCGGACGCACAGGTAAATGACTACTAAATTATTTTTCTTTATTTTTCTATTAAAATATACATTTCTAACGGGTCGACACTACTTAATTTGTATATTTTTTATATATATTTCTTAAACATTATTATACTATATTTATTTACTATTTGGCTAGGTAGTTGTGCTCAAAATGAAACAAAATGTCTTGATAATTTTCATGCTTTCATCAACACAAACAAAAGATTAAACATAATGAAATCTAATTAAAACAAGAATTGTGGTCTCCAGCATATATGAACAATGTAAAGCTTCATCACATTTGGGAGTAAAAAGGGAATTAAAGTGATTCAATCAAAAACAATTAATGTAAAAGAATGAATGGCATGAAATTTGTACAAATAAAAAGTTTCCTAAACATGGTATGTTATAGAAAGTGATAAACTGGTATGTGATGTGTATCAACTTCAAAACAATATCATTATCATACATCCGCAAGTTGAAACGGTTAACTTGAAAAATCACCACTTGCGACTTCAAACCAAAAGACAAAGATTTGAGTTCAAACCACTAACAAAAACAAACTGATGAAAGTGAATTAAACAAGTTGAAAAGTTAAGATTTGAGAATTTTTAGAACTGGTCCGATTTCAACTTGTTTACATCGTAAGCACGACGCTTGTTATTTATACACATTCTCCAAATCACCTCTTTACACGGTTAGCGCTCACCGATGGTAAAATCTAACCAAACACTTAGCAAACATGAAAAGAAACAAACATATACAATAAATTCACAAGTATTGAAAACATGTAAAATTCACAAGCATGGTAAACATACACAATTATCAATATAAACAAGTTTTTATTTATACATTATAGATAATATAGGCATTATATGCAAAACTCACAAACAAAGAAACTATCGCATTGTGAAACAATAAAAACACAAATCCCCGACAACAATCCCATTTTGCTGAAGCGGTAAAACGACAAGCAAAAGTAAGTATTTTTATAGGTTATATCATATCGTCTCCATAGAGATTAGTGCTACTGAATTGTCGTTCGACAATTTCTCGCTAATGAGTTTAGGGTTTGAATTGGGTTTAGTTTGTATAGAAAGAAAAATAAATGAACATAAAATAAATATATTCTTCAGGTAGAAACAATTTATCAGACATGAATATACATTACTCTTCACAAACTTAAATATATTGATCAGTTATACTCAACCTACGATACTCCTCAATGTCAACTTGTATCACTGACAACCTAGATTATGTATAATCCAAATTGAGAGAACAATTGTATTTCTGTGTCAGCGATCTCTCAGCACGACACAAAAATACGGAAGCATTAAGCTCTGATACCCACAGTGATTATTAGCTCTCTATCTCTAGAATCTAGAAACTAATAGATATCCATTCCTGTGATACGGTGGGAGAACTGACTAGGGTTTTGCGTTTGTTTTCGCAAATGTTTCGGTTGAGCAAGAGTCGCCACCGACTTTTTATTTTATCCTAAGGAAAGGTTTAAAAAGCACAGCAAAAACCTTTGAGATTTTTCTTGGGTTCGGGGAGTAGATTATAGAAAGGGAAGGTATTAGCACCCTTTCTATCCATGGTTATCCATGGGCTCTTAGGTACTTGCTTAGATCAACTTGCCTTGGTTTTCAATTGTTTGAAATGGTGCTTTGTGTGTGGTTTTGAAAAGGTTTTGAAAAAGATGCCTTGTCTAGGCTACCCTTGTAACAATTCTTTACTCGAATGTTTTACAAAAGGTGTTTGTCTTTTTGAAAAGATGTTTCAAGGTTTTTTGAAAGTTTGTTTTGAAAGTGTTTGTGAAATGTGGTTTGAAAATAGGCAAGTGTTTTCTTTTGCAAATTGACAAGTACTTAAGAGCTATCTACCCTAAAGTTCTCAAAGATTTTTGTTATGTTTTAACCTTTTTAACAATTTTGTTCCACCATTGTATTTGGTGGACAATCTTGTGTTAGGAGGTGAAAGGGACGGGCGCGGGTCATCGTTTAGACCATAATTGCAATGGTGCTAAGTACCTTTGGGCAATTTTCCTTTAAGGGACTTTGATCATTTTAGGCAACTTTTCGAAAGCGTGATCGAGGGACTATGATCAATTGATTTGTATTTGTTTTGCCCAAAGAGACATAACATGCAATATGGCCCATTATTGAAGGCAACAAGTGGAATACCCTAGGGGTGCAAGTGTGATATGTGTTGTCCATTTTTCATGCTTTGATTATCTTGAAATTAGGTCAAACTATATTTGTTCGTTTTATTTGCATACAAACCCTAATTCTAGCATGGTATATTTAGAAAGCATTAAAGTGCGAAAAGTAAAGTTCTAAACTATTACAACACAATATGGGAAGGGGGGTACAAATGTTCAAATGGGGGTTTTGGACAAGGAATTTAAACCTAACTATTACATCAATTTGGGATATTTACAAGATAATTGATTGCATAAATTAAATGGAAATAAAATAAATATGCAAAAATGTAAAAAAAAAAAAAAGGGTTTTTTTTTATATGTATGAAAAAAAAGTATTTTTTTTATGTCAAATAAACAAAATAATAAAAAGCAAACTTTTGGAGCTTTTTAATATTTAGGGTAAAACCCTAATTTATTAGGTAAATATATATATTATTTAATTTATACAAGTATTTATTTATTATATACAAATAAAAAAATAAAAAAAAATGAAGTATATTTATAAAAGAGTATTTTTATGTCAAATATTAATAAAATAAAAAATGTATCTATTTTTTGTATTATTTACCTAAATGTACTAATATATATATATAAATATCTTTATTATTTACTAAATAAATATTATATATACAAAAATAATAATATTTAATATTTATAAAAAAAGTATATTTTGTATAAAATATTTTCAAAAGAAAAAATGAAATAAAAATCAGAAATAAAGTATATTTGCATTATTTTTCTAGTTTTTCTAAATAATAGTATATATATATTATTTATGTACAAATGGTTCATATAAACAAATAAATGCCTAAAAATATAAAAATGGTGTAAAAAATGTTTTTTATGTTTTTAATATTATTAGGAAAAATAAATAAGTCAGAATAAAAAAAGAAAAGTCAAAAAATCAATAGAACAAACAAAATGGGCTCAGGGGGTGTAAAACCAAAAATATGGTGTGAAAAGAAAAGACAAAGCAGGCCCAGCCCATGTGGCTTCTTCTTCAACCTTTGGACAGAAAAATGTTCAAAAACGCGCGCCTGAACACCAATTCAAACATCCTGATGCCTTGATCTTTTGCACAAACTTTCAACATAAGAAATGTTAATCATCAAGCCACGATTCTAAATATGTAAAGAACTCATCCTAACTCTCAAATGAGAGAGAATTTTAACATTCCCAAATCTTGACCTAACTTTTCTTCCATATTCAGACCTTAAATTCTCATAGCTCAGGCAAAATAAATGAAAAGTAAAAGTATGTACAGATTCAGGGGCATGAGTAGAACACTTCTTATTCACAAACTTAGAGCTAATGATGCCTACACTAAGAGTTAGAAGTTCAAGAAGATACATGTTCAGTTGAAGTTCTATCTGGCAATGGGGGAGCTTTCAGGGCAAGATGATGATCTGTACAGCTTGCCTGAAGTGTAGTGATGTTATTCCAATGCTTACTTTACTTTGAAACACCTTGAATCGAGCTATGAAACCTCAACTGCAAAACAAGAAAGTGAAAATGGTGGAACTGGTTAGAGGAGTTACATGTCGTGTTTTATGTTTGGATTAGCTTCAAGTGATGCTAGGGAATGTGTTTGATGAGCTTTTAGCAAGAATGCATGAAACACTACGCCAAAAACTGCTTTTTGCAGCGCCTCTACTAAAGCGCTTATTGAAAAAGCGCTGCCATAGCCTTCACAAAAAACAAAATTAAAAAAAAGGGAAACCTACGAAGGCGCTTTTTTAAAAGCGCTGGCATAGGGTTCCCTACGAAAGCGCTTTTCAGAAAGCGCTTTCATAGGTATTTGAAATATCTAACCTACGAAAGCGCTTTTGAAAAGCGCTCTTATAGGGAACCCTATGCCAGCGCTTTTGAAAAGCGCTTTGAAAGGGGGACCTACGAAAGCGCTTTTTACCTCAGAAGCGCTCTTATAGGGAACCCTATGCCAGCGCTTTTTAAAAGCGCTTTCGTAGGTTGTTTTTATAATAAAATTAAAAATCCCTAAATCTGTTCTTTAGTCTTCTTCATTTCTTTCGTTCAGATCTTCTTCAATTCTTCGTTCGTCTTAAGCTTCCTCATTTCTACCGTCGCCGCCGTTCGTTCCTTCCTCTTCAGTCGTCGTCGCCGCCGTTCGTTCCTTCCTCTTCAGTCGTCGCCGCCGCCGGTCATTCCGTCTTCTCCACCTTGGTAAGATTCTGAATCAATATAGTGTAGGAATGGTTCAAGCTTAGCATTTTCCTTCTTCAAGCTTAGTATTACTCATTTACAAAACATTTTTCATCTTTAACAGTTGTTACTATATTATATATTACTTCTATGATAATCTCGTTTCTTTTTTCTGTGTTTGAAATTGATTCTCTGTGATGTGTTCTTCTAATATTCATTGAGGTTAAATTAGTGAGCTACTAACATACTCATTGTACCTTGCATGTTAAACTAATGAGTAACTATTGCCATATTGTCTAACCAATAGTGTCCGAACCTTGGATGATTCAATATAGAGGACAAAACTCATTAATAATAAGCTGCAAGTTTTGGAGAATTTGTTTTTAATATTGATCTATAAGTCTTTCAAAGAATCAATCATGAATAAAATGTCTGAATTGAAATAGAGAATAAAACATTTTTAACAAATACTTTGTTCATGTTTCCTAAGGATGAAGCCCATTTCCTTTAGGTGGGGACCTTTGACCATACCCTTGTCATCCTAACCCTTATTCCTTCAATGGTTGGAGGAAATAAGCCTTTTAAATACTTTAGGATGTCCCAAATATCTAAGATGGACTGGATTAGAGATGGTGACCATAAAACAATTATCTTTCATTATAGCATCAGGTATAGGAATAACATCAGTAGAATTAGCGCCATTAACAATAGTGGAGGAGATTGGTTAACTGATCCTGGAGAAGTCATTAAGGAGTTCACCATGTACTATGAAGATCTACTTGGTACCCCTATAGAAAACAAATTGAAAGCCTGTAAGTCCATTATTAATCAGGGGGAATTTTTTCCAGAGAGCAGCATGATTGGTTGATTAGGGATTATAATGAGCTTGATGTTAAAAATATGTCTTTAGTATCCCTGGCAAGAAGGCCCCTGGCCCTGATGGTTATAGTAGCTACTTTCTGCAGGACAATTGAGAGATTATTGGTGCAGATGTGAGTAAGGCTATTCTTTCCTTCCTTAATTCTGGAAACTTGATGAAAGAGATTAATACCACAACCCTCACCCTTGTTCCTAAGGTAAAGTACCCTGCCTTGGTGATTGATTATAGACCTATAACATGTTGCAATGTTGTTTATAAAGTTTCTACAAAAATGATCTATAGTAGATTAAGAGATATTCTCCCAACCATTATAGCCCAAAATCAAGGAGGATTCATAAAAGAGAGATTTGTTGTGCACAACATTATGATCTTCCAGGATTTAGTCAAGCACTTTGGAAGGAAAATTGGAAAAGCTAAATGCTTGATAAAGCTTGATATAAGGAAGGCCTATGACACTATAGAGTGGGATTTCCTGGAGGAGATGCTCATAGGTCTCAATTTCCCTCAGAAACTTTGTTCTCTCATCATGCAGTGTGTCAAGACTCCTAAGTTCTCTCTCATGATCAATGGATTCTTACATGGCTTCTTCCATTCTAAGATAGGCTTAAGGAAAGGGGACCCGATGCCCCCTCTTCTATTTGTCATGTGTATGGAATAATTGTCGAGGATCATGAAGAAAGTTGGTAATATGAAAATATTTCAATTTTTTTAGAACTGTAAGAGTATGAACCTCAACCATCTTAGTTTTCCATATGATGTTCTGCTTTTCTATCATGGGGACTATGCCTCAATTTATACTATGTTGCAGGGTCTTCAATTATTTTCCAGGTCTTTAGGTTTCTATGCCAGCAAGGATAAAACTGAGATCTATTGTTATGGGATGAAGGATGTAGACATTAAAAGAAATATCTAACTTGACAGGTCTTCAGTACAAATGAAACGGTAGTGCTAACAGTGTCCTCAGTGTGTCATCAATAGTCTGGAACAAGGAAGTATACTTAATCTCCACCTCCAAAAAGATCTTGTGTTTCATCTATATAGTTGAGAATTTTTTTTAATATTCTTGCATTTGCAGAATCAAATTTAAAGAGACCAATTCATATCATCATCTCATCCAAATGTGAGATCAGAACAACAACAAAAACGATTAAAAGCACTTATCTATTTTTTATTTTCAAATCCAATCATTTATAGCGAGAACTAAATAGTAATGAACAGCATCAAATAAGCCCAATAGGCTTTACAACTGATTGATTCTCAAATCTAAGCCTTTCCTGTGTAGTTCTGAAGTTTTAATTTTTACATAAGTGAAATTAAAAAGACCCGGGAATTTATTATGTATATAAAAATTGAAAGCTCCATTGTCACTCTCATTTATCCTGCATTTATGATTTGTTTTTCTTCTCTCTCTAAACCTTAGTATGAATTTTGATTGAATCACAGGGAGAAAGAATTAGCTGCTGTTAAGATAAATGCAGCAGATGTTGATATAATTGCAAACGAACTAGAGGTAACTTCTTCAACATGTACAGAAATCTATCTAGTAAGCTTACATTCCAATTAATTAACATACTTTTCTTATACAACAGTTGGACAAAAAGGTGGCTGAAAGAACCTTGCGTTGCTGCCATTCGTCATTTGATTCACTAGTATGGTGGAAACAAATAAGGGAATGTGATCTATATTGTCAATGAAAATGTTTTGTTTTTAGTTACTCCTAAGTTTAACACGTTGTTTACATTCAAATCATGCAGCGGATAGTTCAACGATTTAATATCGATTGTGGTAGGAAAAAGCTGTGAAACTTTCTCCGATTGAAGAAATTCGAACTGTCCTTGATCGTAGTGTACGCGGGACGCTCTCAACATTTTCAAAGGTTTCTATCCTATTCTTGAACTGACTTGAATAACTGATTGTTTTTACTTTTATTTTCCGGCTCAGTGTGAATTTCTAATGATTATAGTTGAGTGGAATTCATGAGCTGCGGTTGTGTTTTTGTTTATATCCGACTTCACTAGTTAGTAATTAGTTATGAGTTGTTTAGCACATGCTTAAGGTGAGGCAAGAATAACTATGAATTTGATTACCTGATATGTTGTATTAGAAATGATCATAATGAGGGTATTTGGATCAATCCAACCGTCCGCATTGTTAAGAGACGCGTAGTACACAATCCTACCAAGAAAAGAAAGAGACGTTAGTGATAAAGTTAGTGTTAATAGTGTACTAATGTGCTTTAGTTTGTTTGATACAGGTTCAATGGCTCCAGATAGAGATGCTCCACCTGAAAACCCACCTGAAAACTCACAAGAAAACTCACAAGAAAGAGTTGCTTCGGATACAAATGCTCCACCTGATACTGAAGCAAAAGAGGTTGCACGAGGCATCACTATTATGAAGGGAATCATTCGACATAGAGACCAAGGATTAGTATACCGATTGGAATGGAATTCTGATAAACAACCAATTGGTCCTAATTCTGCAAAGTTGACAAGTTATATTGGTACACTTGTCCGTATGCATATTCCGGTCTCCGTAGCTACCTGGAAATCGAAAACGAAAAATTTAGAATTGGAGGAGAAAAAACAAGCGATTTGGGAAGAGCTTCAGGTATATATCATATATGGTTAATTGTTGTTATTATCTTGACGATAAATTGTTTAAATTACTTATACTAACACACTATGCGTACGTTTTTTTGCAGAGGACTTTTGAGATACCAGATGAACGTAAAAGCTACATACTTAGTTTGGCCGGCAAAAGATATAGAGGGTGGAAAAGTTTTTTGACAAACACCTATCTTAAGGATAAAGATGGAAAATTTCTTGAAGAGGCACCGGGACGGCCAACAAAGTATGCGACCTTCATTGATGAAGCAGATTGGGCTGAGTTTGTAAAGCAAAGAGATGAAGCTTTTCAGAAAAAGAGTGCCACGAATAGTGAGAGAGCATCCAAACCCGCGTATCCATACAAAAAAGGGCGTTTGGGATATGCACGCTTAGAGGATAAAATTGTAAGTAAATAGAAATGCGTTTTAATTAATTGTCTACATGTGCATGTTTTAATTGACGATTTTATCTTTTGTGTCAATGCATAGTTAGAGGAGACTAAAAGTGAGGAAGCTTCACTTCCTGTACATGTGTTGTGGAAGGAAGCTCGTGTGGGCAAGAATCAAGCTGTCGATCCCGATGTTCAGAGAGTTTATACTGAATGTGTAAGTATAATACTGTGTCTTTAATTAAATCAAATGTTTTTTAATATATAAATGATTTTTTATCTCCACTAATAATTATTTAAATGTAAATGAATTACAGGAGACCTTGTCGCAATCGGCATCCACCGGTGAGGAGAGCGTACTTAGTAGAGTACTAGATGCTCCCGAGTATCCCGGTCGGGTGAGGGGTAAGGGTCATGGTGTGACTCCAACCTCTTTTTATAAGAGTTCTAGGAGAAGATCAAATCTTACCAATGAAGAAGTGTTGCAAAAGTTGCAGGAATTGCAAGCACAGGTCTCTGAATTGCAAAGAGATAAAGATATGTATATGAGAGAAAATTGCAACACTTCATCGGTGAGAGAAACTAGTGATAAGGCTAGTATCAACTATCAAAAGAAATTTCCCGAGGTAATTATAAGTTTTTTTCCTTACAAACTGTTCTATTTTATTAATGATAATGACTTTATATTTTCTATTTGTTTAGGGCATTTCATCTTGCCAACTATACTTATCGTCACCGAATTATCGACTAGTTGGCAAGGGAAAAGTGCACAACACTTCGGGAGATTTACTTCACCACAGACCGCTCCCGGATGGACACCTGAAAGTATCGGTGGATGTTGTATTAGATCGTGATGCGATTCTACCGGTACCTGACATGGTCTCAGAGACGACATTGCTGCGAGATGCAATAGGATCATTTGTTGCATGGCCCTCGGAGCTCATTACCATTAGTGATGAGGTATACTGAAAACGATTATGAATCATTTAGTTTTCGAATGTCAATTCTAAACCGTTTATTAATTATTTTTTATATTTTAATTTTAGACTGCTCCTATAAAACCCGCAATTAAGGGTAAAGGGATTTTACAGGAGGAGGAGTTTGTTGCATCACTAAAAGAGGTACATTTAAAGTGTTAATATATAGTCTGAATCTAAATCTGCATGATTTTATATTTTACCTAACTTATATGATTTTTAGGCATCCGCTCGGGAGTCACAACAAGTGACGCAGCAGGTTCGTAGCGTACCACCCACTGGTCCTCCGAAGCAAGCGGCAAAAAAAGGCGGTGCTTTTGTGCCTCGATACCGTTCGACACTCGCAACAATGGTTGATATGTCCGATTTGAAGGATGGTGGTTTACGTGAAATCAACATGGATGAAAGTGTCTTCGGTATTGAATTCCCGTCACATATTACAATTGATGACTTGGAAGAGATTTTTAGGCATGATCAACTAGGCGTCAGTAATATGCACTCATACATCCGGTAATATTCACTCATCCGATATATTATTTAATTAGTCCCACAATATAATTTATTTACACATTTCAATGAAAATAATCTAATGTTTATTATGTTTTTATTTAAGGTTGTTGTATGACAGAGTGTTGCGCGGGACTGCATTGTCTAACAGATTCCGTTTCGTGTCTTCCGCCCATTGCAGCGGAATGAAAATTGCTTCGGAACCGGAATCAGTTAGACAGCGCTTAGTAGATAGATTCATGTCCACCGGCAATACAGAAAGTCTGCATCTTTGGGCGTATAATACCCGACCAGTAGGGTTAGTTTCTCATTCTTGGTTCATCTAATCTCTGTTTCTTTTGTGTATAGCAAAATTTTCATATAACCTATTGTTTTAATTTATAGAGCACACTGGTTGCTGCTTGCTATCAACCCGATAAGAGAAGTCGTGTATTATCTGAATTCGGTAAATGGTGAATGGACCAATTATCCGGCTATGAAGGAAATCATTGATTTGTAAGTGGGATCGTTCTAAATATATATTCGTGTATATTTATATATTTTCTTATTTGTGGGATTGATCTAAACATATGCTTTTATATATTTAATAATTAGATCAATACAAGTGTTCCGTAGTCAACGGGACGCACAGGTATCCCGGACTAAATCAAACAACATCACTTGGATCCAAGTGCAGGTACATTACTTTTCACAATTTTGCTTATAATATTTATGCTACTTGGTAAAACAAGACAACTATAGAATCTTATTTGTTTTATTATGTAGTGTCCGCAACAGCGAAACAGTCATGATTGCCGATACTTTGTTTTGAGGTTCATGAAAGAAATCCTTCAGGCGAATCAATTAGAGATTCCGCTCACGGTATGAATTTATAACTTAAGATAATTTCATATAATTTATTACATTTAACTAAATATATCATTTATATTATGTTTTTGTTTTGTAGTACCTTGACGAATTCCGTGCTGCTGGGTACCCGAAGCTTAAGTTGGAAGAAATTAAAGAAGATTTGTGTCAATATTATATTAAGCAATTTTTCATGTAGGATTTGTGTCGATTTGAACTATAATATTATTGATGTAATGATGTATATATATAATTTTGGATATTATAATGGTATTATATTAGTATATATATTGTCTTACTGATGGCTGAAATAATAGCGTCGAAAATATATTACAGGTCAAAAATATATTACAGGTCGAAAATATTACAGGTCGAAAACATTACAGGTCGACTGGGAGGATTAAATTATAGGCTGCACATAAAAATACCTCATTTAGAAACGACAGCGCTTTTAAAAAGCGCTCTTAAAGGTCCACCTACTAAAGCGCTTCTTAGTAAAAGCGCTGCCAAAGACCAGTAAAAAAGCATAAAAAATTAAAAAAAAACGCAGCATACAAAAGCGCTTTTGGAAAAGCGCTCTTATAGGGGGGCCTACCAGAGCGCTTTTTCCAGGAAAGCGCTCTTATAGGGGGTCCTACCAGAGCGCTTTTTCCAGGAAAGCGCTCTTAAAGGGGGGGTCTACCAGAGCGCTTTTAGAAGCGCTTTTGTTACCTACGCCAGCGCCAGCTATTAAAGTGCTTTTAAGCGCTTTTAAAGGCCAAAATAAGCGCTTTAAAAGCCCTTTCCGTAGTAGTGAAAGGGATGAGAGTTGGCACTTAAACTGCAGCAAGCCCTGTTTTTGTGCAGTTCAATGGTGATTTTGAGTTTGTGGAGGTATTGGAGGTGTTGGAGTCGTGTTCTAGCTCAGTTAGGATGTCTTGAATGTGTACAAAATGTTTGCTTAAGGGTTCTATTGCTGAGATCAAAGTTATGTTGTGTTATGCTACATTTCTTCACACTTAAGCAAGCAAAGGCCAAGTTGAGTTTTAGACAGCTAGAGGCCCCCCTAATGTGCTGCTAACCCTCCCCTTGATCAGTGTGTTTTGTTCATCATCTTGTGCCAAAGTGATTTGATCTGTACTTGTTGATTTGCAACTTTGACATAAAGCTTAACTTTTCAAAAATGGCTATTTCACTTTTTCTATAAATGGCTTAATTCAACATGTAATGCTTAAACTCATAAAACAATGCCTTGGCACAATGAGTATGCATTAAATTATTGAGTGTTGGATGGTTTAGAGGCCTGTAATCAAGGGAATCATGCTGATTTTGAAAATGCATAAGTCATGAACATGGTAATGGCCATGAATCAAAGTGACTTTTTGCCA